CATGTTCCTCTTCCTTTTCTTTTCTCTCTCTTTTTTTTTTTTTGGTGGTGTGGGGGATGGAAGAAGGGCCTTGTTCATACAAGGCAGCGCTCTCCACTGAGCCACATCCCCCAGGCCTCTGTGTTCCTCTTTCCTCATGATGCCCTCCTTCTGGTGGAACACATGCTTCAGTTGCTTCCTCTAAAGTGTGCATGGGACATAAGCCTTTTGAACCCTGAATGTTGCCAAAGGTCCTTATTCTAACCCTGCTGGCTGGATGTTGAATTCTAGGTTGGAGACACTTTCCTGACATCTTTCTATTTTCTTCTCAACTCCACTGTGGACACTGAGAAGTCTGGTGTCACTTTTATTTTCCATCCTTCTATGTGACCCTTTTATTTTCTCTTTACAGTGCAGCAGAGGTACCAGAAGCTTCCAGAATCTTCTCCTTATCCCCTCAGGTTCCAAAATTTCTCACTAAAATGGGCTAGCCTGGGTCTTTCTTCATTCTTTAGCTTGTATACTTGCCTGGCTCTTTCAAATCAGAAACCTGGGTACTCCAGTTATGGGCAAATGCCCTGTATGCATCTATTTAATCATTTCCTCTGCTGTCACCATTTTTCTGTTCATTCCTTCTGAAACTACTTAGTGGGTAGTGGCCCTTCTGGATAGATATTCTCTCTTTCTCCTTCCCTTCGTTCCTCTCTCCCACCCTCCTTCCCTCTTTCCCACCCTCCCTCCTTCCTTCCCTCTTCCCTCTCTTTCAGTACTAGGATTGAACCTAGGACCTGACACCACTGAGCTATATTCCCAGCCCTTTTTTATTTCATTTTGAGCAGGGGGTCTTGATAAATTGCCCAGGCTGGGTTTGAATTTGCTATCTATCTTCCTGCCTCAGCCTCCCAGAATGCTGGGATTACAAGTGTGCACCACCATGCCCACTTCAAATATTTTTGATCTGTAGATGGTTGAGTCCTCTGATTGGGATCCTACAGATAAAGAGGACTGACAATGTGACTTTTGGTGATCATAAAACAAAAAACAAAACAAAACAAAAACAAAAAGTTTACTACACATTGCCATTAATCCCCCAAAACAAATATTCCCCCTTGCTTCAAACACACTGATCTCATCATTCTTGCCACCTTTCCTCTCTCTCTCGCTCTCTCTCTCTCTCTTTCTTTCTTCTTTCTAAGACAGGGTCTCACTATGTAGTTCAGGCTGGCCTTGAACTCACTATGTAGCCCAGGCTGGCCTTAAACTCTTGGTGATCCTCTTGGCTCAGCCTCCTGAGTGCTGGGATTTCAGCTGTGTGCCACTACACTGGCTATCACTTTCTGATGAAGTCCTGGAAGTCCTCTTTCCTGAGTGTCTTCAGTTGTGTTGTTGTGACTGCCTCAAGATCTTGAATTAATTAAAAACATTGACCTTTTATGGTCACTTTGGCTTTGGGGAAGAGCAGCAGTTGCATGGTGCCAGATTTGGTGAATAGGGTGTAAAGAGGACACATTGTCCTGCCTTTACCAGCCTGTTGTTGTTGGATGGCCTTTGGTAGCAGCATTCACTGCATTGTTTATTACGTTTTGTAAAGACACTCATGAAAGTGGATGTCCAGAACTGCTTCAGAAAGTGGCAAGAGTGATGAGATAAGTGGGTTTGAATCAAAGGGGAAGATTTTTGAGGGGGATTAATGGCAATATGTCCTTTACTGTAAGTTTTTTAAATTATTTTTTTATTTTGGTATTGAGGATCAAACTCGGGACCTTGTGCTTTCAAGGAAGGCAGTGGAACCACTGAACTAAGTCCCTGGCCCCTTTTACTATAATTTTTTAAAAATTTAAACATTCACCATACAGTTTGATCATCCCTGGTACAGTATGATCATCCCTGGTCCATCCCCAGCCCAATGTTCAAGGTTTTTTTGACAGTTTTTATATTGAACTGTTTTTCCTTTATATATTGTAGACATGAAAATTTGTCAGATAAATATATTGTGATGTCTTTTTCCACTCCATGTTTCAGCTTTTCATTCTCCTTAGGGTTAACTTTTTTTTTTTTGAGACAGGGTATTGCTTTGTAGTTCAGGTTGGCCCTGAACTCACTATGTAGCACAGGCTGACCTCAAACTCGTGATGATCCTCCTGCCTCAGCCTCCCAAGTGCTGGGATTACAGGCCAGTGCTGGGATTATAGGTGTGCACCACCATGCCTGGCTCATTAGGGTCCCCCCTCCCCTCTGGGGATGAACTCAGGACCTTGCACTTTCTAGGCAGATGTAGCACCACTGAGCTAAATCCCCGGCCCTGTCACTTGGGTTTCTTTTGATAAATAGTATGTTTAATTTTAATATAACTCAATTGATATTTCTTTTTTATTTGTTTTTTAGTAGCTTTAAAATGAAACTCAGCTGGGCATGGTAGCGCACACATGTGATCCCAGCACAAAGGAGGCTGAGCAAGGATTACTATGAGTTTGAGACCAGCCTGGGCTATATAGTGAGGCCTTGTCTCTAAAGAAATAAATAAAAATAAAAATTAAAAAAATAAAATGAAACTCACCAGGTATGGTGGTGCACACTTGTAATTCCAGCACTCTGGGTGCCTGAGGCAGGAGGATCATAAGATCACAAGAGTTTGAGCCCAGCCTGAACTACTGTACATAGCTAGACCCTGTCTCAAAAAAAACAAGCAAAAGCAGGCCATGGTGGCACATGCTGTAATGGGAGTGCTGCAATCCCAGCACTTGGGAAGAGAGGCAGGAGGATCATTGCAAGTTTGAGGCCAGCATAGGGTACATAGATTCAGCTATGAACTATATGAACTATATATGGAGACCCTGTCTCGAAAAACCAAAACCAAAACCAAACAAAATCATCCTGGACAGCCATGGTGGTGCATCCATGGAATCCCAAATTTGAAGCTAGTCTGAGCAATTTAGCAAGACCCATTCTCAAAAGAAAAAAAAAAAGGGCTGGGATGTAGCTGAGGGCAAGGCCTAGTTTCAGTCCCCAGGACTGAAAATAGAAAATCTGGTTTTGATTTCTAAGTGTGGAATTTTATCTATAAGGGTTTTGATTTACATGTGAGGAGTTTTGTTTTTGTTTTTTTGCTCCCTACTGGGTCTTTGTCTCTTCGGAGCTCTATTTCTTTTTTGTCCATCATGGTCTCTGTAGTCCAAGCCAGCAGCTGTCCTCAGCTGTGTGCAACCCTTGCTGTCCAGTTCTGTTTGGATGCCAGGCTCCAAGCATCTGCATGGAGATGGGTCAGGGCTGTCCTTCTGGAGGGTTTTGCTGATTGCTTGGTGTCTTAGTGGTGACCCCTCTAACTGCTCAGCTGGGGCTGGAGACTCCCTGCCAGTGTCTGGGTGGCATGTGGGGAAGGCCAGGGTGGCTATCCCTGCTCAGTGTGGGCTTCCACTCCACCCATTCAGTTCACACCTGGTACTCTCCCAGCTGTGCTCAGGCCACCAATGCAGGGCTCTCTCTAACTCAGCAGCCCCAGGGAGAAAGTTTCAGGTTTTTCTGGGTGTCAGCATGGGTCACCTTACTGCAGGTTTCTGGGGAGGGACCTGACTCTTTTAGATTTTCTTTTCCTTTTGTGTGTGTGTGTGTGTGTGTGTGTGTGTTCTAGGGATTAAACCCAGGAAGCACAGACCTACATCCTCAGCCCCTTTGTTTTTTTGAGACAGGGTCTTGCTAAGTTGTTAAATTGTCCAGATTGGGCTCCAACTTGAGATCCTCCTGTCTCGCCTCCCAGAATGCTGGGAGTATAGGTGTCTTGCTTGGGTTTGCATTTCTTATTTATTTTTTTTCTTTTTTTGGTACCGAGGATCAAACTCGGGACCTTGCACTTGCAAGACAGGCGCCGAAACCACTGAGCTAAATCCCCATCTTATTTATTTTTTTAATGAATATATGTTTGTAGTACATACATAATTACATTCATCATGGGGAGTTGATACATATACATAACACATCTAATTCCTTTTGCTTCTCCTTACTCTCCCCTTTCTCCCCCTCTTTCCAACTCTTGGTCCCCTTCCCATTCACAAATGATCTACCTCCCTGTTTCCTATTATCTATCTTTTTTTTATTGGTACCAGGGATTGAACTCAGGACCTTGCGATTCTGAGGCAGTCGATGGTACCACTGAGCTAAACCCCCAGCCCCCTATTATCTATCTTTTATTTTGCTCTACAAGTTATTTATACTTTGTATTTTTCATATAAGTGAAACCATGTGATATTTAAGCTGATTTATTTCACATTATTAACATTGTGGTCTCGAGGTGCATCTATTTTCCTACAAATGACTCATTTATTCTTCTTTATGGCAGAGTAGTATTCCATCGCATGTAAGTGCCACATTACATTTTCTTTATCTGTTCATATGTTTATGGGGATATAGGCTGTTTTCAAGATTTAGCTATTATGAGTTGTGCAGCTATAAACATGGGTATGCATGTATCATTGTGATATGACATCTTTAACTCTTTCAGGAAAATAGCTAGAACGGGAACAGCTGGGTCAAATGGAGTTTCTAGTTTTAGTTCTTTGAGGAATCTCCACACTGATTTCCATAGTGCTTGTACCAGTTTACACTCCCATCAGCAATGTAGAAGGGTCCTTTTCCCCTCACACCCTCGCCAGCATTTGTTATCCCTTGATTTCTTGGGCCTTGGTTCTCAGTTTCAGTGGGCCTCAGAAGATGGCTTCCATGGACACCGGGACTTCCTTGTGCCTTTGCCCTTCCTGATCCTTCTTGCTGGAATTCTCTTCCTTCACTCTTCCCATTGTCACCCTCCAGGTCTCTGTTCAGGTCACCTCCTCACACCAGTGTTGCCCTTGACTGAGGGATCAGGGCACTGGCTGGGGGAGATATTTGTTTTCTGGACTCTGGGGCCGCTTGACTTCGGGCTTGGACATCCACCAAGCATCAGTACACCAGGCAGAGTGCACAAGGTGGCTGCCTGGGTGTGCAGACCCCTTGGCAGCGTCTGAGCAGCGGTTCCCCACCCACTGCAGGCTGACCCCGTGCGGCTGACACAGCTGTATGAGCAGGCACGCTGGGACCTGCTGCTGGAGGAAATCGACTGCACTGAGGAGGAGATGATGGTGTTCGCCGCCCTGCAGGTGCCTGGGCACCCAGGGTGGCCGGGGTGTGGACCCTGGGCAAGAAGGGCCTTCTGGAGTGGGGCCCATGTCTAGGGACACCCAGCCTGGGGCCACCACTGGGCAGCAACTGGACTCAGTGTTCCCTGGCCATGCATCCCCAGTACCACATCAACAAGCTGACACAGAGTGGGGAGGCCGGCGAAGTGGCCAGCATGGACCCGGGGCTGGATGACCTGGATGCGGCCCTGAACAACCTGGAAGTGAAGCTTGAGGGCTCGGCGCCCACGGATGTGTTGGTAAGGGCTCAGGCTTCAGTGGGTGTCTACACCAAGGGAGCCCTGGGCCCCTCTGACTCCCCCCCTCCCTCAGGATAGCCTCACCACCATCCCAGAGCTCAAGGACCATCTCCGAATCTTCCGGTGAGTCTGCCCATCCGGAGGAGGAGGCTGTGTGTCAGGGTGGCCATTCACACCCTGCTTGCTCTCAGGCCCCGGAAACTGACCCTGAAAGGCTACCGGCAGCACTGGGTGGTGTTCAAGGAGACCACACTGTCCTACTACAAGAGCCAGGACGAGGCCCCGGGGGACCCTATTCAGCAGCTCAACCTCAAAGGTGAGGGAGCAAGGGTGGGGACTGGCAGGGCCCCCTCTTCCTTGGGAACCAGGGAAGATGATCTCTGTCGGGAGGAGGCTGTGCAGGGCTGGCTTTCATGTGGGGCCCTCTCAGGCAGGCCTCCCCCTCCAAGGCCCTCCAGACACCCCTTATTCCTGCAGGGTGCGAGGTAGTCCCAGATGTCAATGTCTCCAGCCAGAAGTTCTGCATCAAACTCCTAGTGCCCTCGCCTGAGGGCATGAGTGAGATCTACCTGCGGTGCCAGGATGTGTGTGAAGTTGGCAGGGATGTGGCAAGGCTGGGGCCAGGCTGAAGTGGGCACTCAGGACAGAGGTGGGGTGGGGGCAGAGCCTGGCTGGCTCCTCACCGTCCTTGTCCCCACCAGGAGCAGCAGTATGCCCACTGGATGGCTGGGTGCCGACTGGCCTCCAAGGGCCGCACCATGGCAGACAGCAGCTATACCAGTGAGGTGCAGGCCATCCTGGCCTTCCTCAGCCTCCAGCGGGCAGGCGGTGGGGGCTCAGGCAACCACACTCAGGGCCCTGATGCCTCTGGTGAGGGCCTTAACCCCTACGGCCTTGTGGCCCCCCGCTTCCAGCGAAAGTTCAAGGCCAAGCAGGTAACAGAAGATAGAGGGTGGGAATGACCACACCATTTTCCTGGCTGCCTTTGATCCCTGGGTCCCACAGAGCTTCTCAGGAGAAAGCTAGGAAGAAACTTGCTCCCTCTCCCAGGCCTCTGAAAGGATCACAGTCCAAGGGCCCCTGTCCACTCAGGGCCTGGCTCAGCCCACATTTGTCAGGCAGTGAGAGGTTGCACTTTGGTGGCTGTGTTAGGCATTGGGCCTTTCCCAGGCTCAGCATCCTGTCTCCCTGACAGGGAAGGCAGGAGTCAGAGGGACTTTGGGGGAGGGGAACCCTCACCAGCTCCTCACCAGTATGGCTCCACAGCTCACCCCGAGGATCCTGGAGGCCCACCAGAACGTGGCCCAGCTGTCATTGACTGAGGGCCAGCTGCGCTTCATCCAGGCCTGGCAGTCCTTGCCTGATTTTGGCATCTCCTACTTCATGGTCAGGTATAAGCCCTAGTCCAGCCATGCACTGCCCTAACTGCTGCTTGCTGTTCCATGCACCACCCTCAGCCACTCCCAAGAAGTCTCCCTCCTCGCCTGTTCTCTGAGGGCAGATCTTACAAGGGGCTTTCTGCACACACCCCACCACTCTGCACCCCTACAGGAAATACAAGAGGCGGAGCCCGGCTGGGAAGGCAAGAGACAGTGTCTTTCCTGGCTCTGCCATGAACCCTTCCCTCTCTGGGCCTCTGTTACTATTCTGGAGGACATGGCTGACCTTAGATGCCATTACAGAAGTGGCCCTCTATTCATTTCCCAACCCTGCAGACACGGTGATGGACAATGATGATGATATATACACTATTATCACCACAAACTATTTCCCAGTGCTGTGAAATGAATCCACCAAGTAACCCCCATTTTCCAGCTGAGGAACTCAAGCCCTAGAGAACCTAAACGTCTTCCACAGGGTCCCACAGCAGACAAGCAGCAGAGCTGGGATGTGGGCAGTTATGTCCTCCCCCATCATACTGGCTGTGGACATTGTGCCACGCCGTCTGGGTGGGCTCTGGGGCCATGCACTGGGGAGCCCCTGCTCATACACCCCCTCCCACCCCGGCAATCAGGTTCAAGGGCAGCAAGAAAGATGAAATCCTGGGTATTGCCAACAACCGACTGATCCGAATCGACTTGGCTGTGGGTGATGTGGTCAAGACCTGGCGCTTCAGCAACATGCGCCAGTGGAATGTCAACTGGGACATCCGGCAGGTGGGCCCAGTGAGGACAGGGTGGGACAGGGGACAGACGGTGGAGGCTTCTCCTTTATCCTTCCTGCCCACTGGCACCTGACTACTCGTCCCACAGGTAGCCATTGAGTTTGATGAGCACATCAATGTGGCCTTTGGCTGTGTGTCTGCCAGCTGTCGAATCGTGCATGAGTACATCGGTGGCTACATTTTCCTGTCCACTCGGGAGCGGGCCCGTGGGGAGGAGCTGGATGAGGACCTCTTCTTGCAACTCACAGGTGGCCATGAAGCCTTCTAAGGGCAGTGTGACTACCCATGCCCTGCTCACCATCAGCCACAGCACTGCTGCACCCCCACTCCAGGCATGCTTTGAGCTGGGCACTTTCACCTCCTGGGCCAGACTCAGCCTTCGTGCAGGCTGGGAGGCGAGAGGTGGGCCTGAGTTCGTACACAGCCCGCTTTCCCTGTCCGCATGGCCAAGGCCAACACCCTTGACCTATGTGTGGCACAGCTCCCTGAGCACATAAGGAAGACCAGATCTAGGCAAAGGATGAGAAATCCTAGTTTCGAACTGGAATTCTTTTCTTGTTACTTTTTAAATTTTTTAAATAAATATTTTATTGTTTGATCATCCTTCCTCTGGGGCTGTGCTTGGGGCCACTCGGACACTCTGTCTCTTTATCACCAGGCAAGGAGAGGGGTTTTCCTGAGATAAAGATGAAAGTTTCTTAGAGAAAGGGAGATAGTCAGCCTGGGTTGGAAGCTGGGAAAGAGGCAAGGGCAGAAGGGCACAGGCATATGGGATTGCAGTTCTCACGGGCAGGGCACAGCTGCAGGGCCTCCTTGAAGTACTTGGGAAGCAGGAAGCCATCAGCATCCCCTGGTGTCAGGATCACCCCATTGGCAGAGCAGAAGAAGGGGATTCCATCTGCCGACAAAGGTATCGATGTGACTCATGCCCCCTCCCTAAAGGTCCAGCAGTCCCTTCTGTGACCACACACACCTGCCAGGGCCAGGGGTCCATTGATGAGCACGGCTACTTCACAATTCCGGCGCATGCCTATAGGGACAACCGGAGCTGGGGCCTAGGGCACGTGGGAGGCAATTAGCAAACCAGGACAGAGGTGGTCCTAAGGTGAAGAGTATGGAGGGGTATGATGCTGTGCAAGGCTGAGGGCAGCCTCAGACAAGGGAGGCTGTGACCCTTGGAGGAGTCCTGAGAGGACAGAGTGGGTGGGAATAGGTGGGGAGAGGGGGCACTGACCACTGATGATACCAGGGTCCCCAGGCAGTCCTGGGGCCAAGTGAATGTGTGTCCTTCCCTGGCAGGACAGGCCCTTGAGCAAGATGGATGGCCAATGCTTCCAGAATGTACCATGGACTAGCATCCGGGGCAGGGCCTGTGGCGTCTCAAGGGGCACCAGTTCCAAATCAGGCACCTGAAATGTGTGGTTGAATGGGTAGCAGTAAGACCTCCCCAGTGGACAGGGGTCCCATCTGGCTCTCCTACCTGTCTCTTTGGCACCCACCTGCAGGGAATGGCCTTGATTAGCCCGGATGAGGGGACCAGTGCTGGGATCTCCTGGCCGAAGGGTGAACCGCTGCTTCTCATTGGTATCCACCACATGCTGCACATCTTCAGCAGAGAAGCTGTGAAACTGGGGCAGCTGCAGGAGGCTGTGCAGGGGCACAAAGCCATCTGCAGGCAGACAAGTGCTTAGGTGCCAACCTTGCTATGGCCAGGTCATAGTTCATGGGGAGCCACAGCCAGAACAAAGCCTGGGCCTGGAGATCACACGGGCTTCACTGTGTGACCTCTAGGAACACTCCCCTTTCTGGGCCTCAGTTTCCTTAACTTACACAGGAAGAATAGCTCCCTCATGGAGGTTCACACAGATAAAGTGCTTAGTATTCGCCCAGAGGGGATACCCAGTAAACATCACTTGCTGCAAGACTCCCCAGTACCCATCCTTGGGGCATTTACTGGCCATGTGATTGGCAGGAAATCACCAGAAAGGCCACTTGGCTGGACATCAGGCCTGGCCCAGACAGGTTCCTCTCCCAGTAGACATGACATGGGGCTCTGGGCCCAGTCTTCACTGTGCATGGAGCGGATGTACCTGCTGTGCCTTCCTTATGGTGCAGTGGTGGGAGCCACAGTGTATGGGGCACAGATAGGTTCATACTGTTTCCTGGGTGCCAGCCACTCCTTCCCAGGCCTCCGAGATCCTCACTTACCAGCTCCCATGGGAAGCCCCAGCTTCAAGGCTCCGTGACGGAGGGTGTAGGACAGAGCCTTAGACAGCTGCACATCTCGGTCCTAAAAGAGCTCAATGGTGGCTTGGGTCTCCATAATTGACCCTCCCCTGCTGCCCACTCCGAAACTGGAGTGACCTGCTGGAGAGGGAGAGGAATCCCCTCTCCGGGACCAGAATAACCCATGAGTCCCCACTCTACCGGGAAGCCAGGGCTCGGAGTCCCCTCCCCTGTTCTCCCCCAGGCGGGTGAGGGTGAGGAAAGGCACACCTGTTGCCGGGGTCTGGAAGCCCTTCTACCTTTGGGTCCTGCTGCCTCCCGGCTCCTTCCTCCAGAGGAGCTCATACTCCAGACCTGTGAGGGGCAGCGACTTGTGGAGACTGATTTAAAGATCTTCTCCTGTCCCCGCCCTGCCCGGAAAGTCACAAAGGCTCAGGACCGGAGAGCTGGGTGGTGGAAGTACAGCTCATGACATTCGCCGCCCATCCTCCAAACGCGGGTGCAGACAGGGCAACTAAGACCCTCGCTGGCGAGACTTGCAAGGTCACAATGGCAGCCACAGGGATAGGGGAGCAGAAGCCTGCGCTTTAGGAGGGCCACAGCGCGCAGACTGATCCTGGGGAAAAGGCTGTGAATAAGGACCTAAAGCTAGCTCACCCGCAGCCGTCTGCTGCCCGCCAATGAGAAGACGCGGAAGAAGGGGCGGCACTACTTCCGTTTCAGGGGAGTAGTGGAACGTGAGGGCCGGAGCATGTGGCTCTGCCAATGAAAAGGCATTGAAGAAGGGGGTGGGCACTTCCGCTTGGGGGAAGGGGCGGAGCCTGTGGGCCCAGCTTGAGGGTGAGTTCTAGTTCCGGCTGAGACTGGAGCTTCTACATTGTGGGAAGCGGTTCTCTACGTTTCTTTGGCTGGAAGCAGAATCTCTGGGTTTGGAGGATTTAAGTATTTGGGGGGCCCAGGACTTCTGGGCGGTAGGGATGTCCAGAAGTCCCAAGAATTTCTGGCAGCAAGAGCCCCTCCCCACTCCCCAGCCGACACTTGAGGCTGTTGCTGGTATAATAGGATACTAACTGTCCAGGCGTGGTCAGGGAGGTTGGAAAGGCTGGGATACGTACCCTCAGGAAGTCTGTGGCAGAATCTGGCAGAACTGGGCCGAAGGGTGGCTGTGTGCCCTCCATGGTGACAGGCCCGGCCGTGTCCTTCTCTAGAGCTTCCTTGTCCAGATCATGGACCCCGAGGTGACCCTGCTGCTGCAGTGCCCTCCTGGGGGACTGACCCAGGAGCAGGTAGGAGTGGAGCTGAGCCCAGCCCATGATCGTCACCCACTACCAGGAGGAGATAAAACCATCATTGCCATCTGGGAGAGCCGGCTACGGACCCAGCCCTGGCTCTTTAATGCCCCTAAGTTCCGCCTGCATTCAGCCACACTGGCACCTACTGACTCTCCAGGACCACAGCTGCTCCTGCGTCTGGGCCTGACTTCCTACAGAGACTTCCTGGGCACCAACTGGGCTAGCTCAGCCTCCTGGCTTCGACAACAGGGAGCTACTGATTGGGATGACAAGCAAGCCTATCTAGCTGACCCACTGGGGGTGGGTGCTATACTAGTCACAGCTGACAACTTCCTTGTCTTCTTACGCCGCTCTTGGCAGGTGGCCGAGGCCCCTGGACTGGTGGATGTTCCTGGTGGGCACCCTGAGCCTCAGGTGAGATGCCAGTCTGGGTACAAAGGCACAAAACCCCAAACAGCTCAGGGGAGCTGGACCTCTATGCCCTCCCAGCTCAGGGAAAATCAGCCTGGTGTTTCTCTGGGTCCACTCAGAGCAGCTGTGCAGCCTTCCCTGCTACAGTGCCTCCTGGATGGCTGACCTGGGAACAAGCATAGGCCAGCCTACACAGTCATGCTAGAAGGGGACAATGCACTCACTGGCATCTGGAAGACTTTGCTACAGGCCTAACCTGCAATAGAACCGTGGGAAGCAAGTGGGAAGGGGAGTAGGCAGAGGAAGAAGATGCCTTACCTTCCTCGTTGTGGCCCCTTCTGAGCTGGACTGTTGGTTCTCCACCTGGACAAGGGGGGCCTGAGTTAGGGGATCATTAAGACTCTTACACTGTCTACCTCGGGCCACCAGGACCAGCAAGGGGGAAGACAGGGTGGGAAGGGGTAAAGAGCAGACCCTGAGCCTGACCTCTCATAGGCCCTGTGCCCTGGTGACAGCCCCCAACACAAGGACCTCCCGGGGAAGTTGGTGGTACAAGAGCTCTTCTCCAGTGTCCTGCAGGAGATCTGTGATGAGGTGAGAGGTGGTTCTGACAGCCTGGTGGGCATGAAGGGAAGAGGTAGAACTTGCTAGATTTCCACAGGTCTGGGCTGGTGGGAGGTCTGCATCGACCTGGATGGCACTGAGGAAAGAGCTTGGCTTTGCAGGTGGGTGTACTCAAGAGTGGAATTCTAAACTGGGTGGGGTGGTGCCCTCCTGTAACTTCAGCACTCAGGAGGCTGAGGATTGCCTCAATTTCAAGGCCAGCCTAGGCTACATAGTGAATTCAAGTCCAGTCTGAACTACAGAGTAAGACCCTGTCTCAAAAGCCAATTTTAGCCCTCAGGCTCTTCCTCTTTACAGTTTAAATAGTGGTAAATGTCTCCCAATGTCACACTCCCCATTTGCCCACTCTGCAAGTTTGTTGAAAGAGGAATAAATGGGAGTCTCAGTTACTAGATTGACTTCCCTGGGAAATTTGTTCAATCCCTGTACTTTTGGTTTTCCTGTCTGTAAAATGAACATGCCCAAGATCTGACATTTTGATACTAGGCGCTTGATCTACAAACCACAAAGTACTGACAGGAGTAATAGGCTGTTCTTTGTTGAGAGGGCAGGGATGTAGCAGTGGATACTGATAGGTGGGATCCTCTACCCCAGGTGAACCTGCCACTGCTTACCCTGAGCCCACCCTTGCTGTTGGGCATTGCCTGCAATGAGACCAGCGCTGGCCGAGCCAGTGCCGAGTTCTACATCCAGTGAGTGAACTCTGGGGCACAGTGGCCTGGGTCCTGGCAGGGATGGGTGTTGAGGGCTGGGGCTGAGGCAGCTGGGGTTTCACAGGAATCCTGCAGGGTGGACATTCCCAATCCACCACCCTCATGTCCTTGTCCAGGTGCAGCCTGACTTCCGAGGAGGTGAGGAACTACTACGTAGGTGGAGGACCTGAGGCCCACGAGTCTACAGGCATCATCTTTGTGGAGGCACAGGTGCAGGGCAGGAGATACATCTTCCTTGGCCTACAAGCAAGGAGTCTGCAGAGAGGCCTAGTCGGGAGAGGGTGGCTGGGTCAGACAAGGGATCCTAGGCCTCTTGGAATTTTCTCCAGAGTTACAGGCTTGCCTTCTAACCAAGGGAAAGGTTGGGGTCTGTGGAGCCCTGGTAACGTCTCCCTAGGCCCCATACAGTGTCGAGGGCTCTGAGGCTCAGGAGTTCTGGGCACAGCTCCAGCAGGAGGCAAGGGCTGGATGGATATCTGGGTCTCACTTTCTTCCTACAGAGGATGCTGGGATTGCAGGATACTGAGATGTGGGCGGAGCTCTGCCCCTCAGCCAAAGGTGCCATCTTCCTCTACAACCGGGTCCAGGGAAGTGCCATCTGAGTTGCCTGGGGGTCTCAGCCCAATCTACACCTCTGAGGAAAATAAAGGACTTTATTCTTGGATTCCATTGGCGTCTGCTGTTTCTTTCTTCTTTTGTTTTGGTACCGGGGATCAAACTCGGGTCCTTGCGCTTTCGAGGCAGGCGGCGGAACCACTAAGCTAAATCCCCGGCCCGGCATCTGCTGTTTCTATATGAGAGAGGGGTCGTTTGGAGAGGCCTGGTGGGTGAGAGAACACGTAGCGGGAAAGGGGAAAAAGCAAAAGCTAAAAGCGCAAGAGCCCAGCCTCAATTTCTCCCCCAGCGAGCTGGGAATGAGGGCCTGAGGGCCGTAACTCCCACGCCAGGCACTGATAAGGCTCCTGGGTATCTATGGAAGCAGCTCTGTGAAACATGTCGCGAACGGGGGGGG